CTCAAACACGCCTGCCCCGCGTGTACATATGTGCTAACGGACGAAGCAAAATTAAAGTTCAGCTTGCTATATGCCATGGACGGGAATGACTCCCTGAAAAGAGTCCTTCGAAGAACGTTTGATACGGACGACTCTCTCGGCTCATCGTGTGAACTCCCGACGGGACAGCAGCTCAGGACTGACCGCTATCTATCTCGTACCTTCGTTGACCAGTTTGCATCGGACTCTAGTGCTGCAGGCGACGGGGAGAATTCGTGCGAAGGGCGTTGGAAGAATATGGATGACGCGAAAACAAAGAAAGCATGGGGGATTTACGATGAAACAGGCATCTTTTTGGCCGTGTGCCGCCATGGGTTCTCTCTGCTAATTGCAGACATGGTACAGAGTGGGGAACTGTGAGTTTTATTTAGTTTTTAGCTCGTTCGTCAACTGATTGTTGCTCGGCAGTGCAAAATATCCTTTGGCCGTGGTCTCGAAGTTGCTGAACGTATTTGGAACTAATCTAGGAGGCGGGTATGACATCGGCTGTCAGTTCAAGACTACTCTCGACAGAAGCTCCCTCGGACCCCTCACACGTTCGAAGCATCACACCTGCCTTGTTGGGGCCTTCCATGGACATGCCCACAGGCGTTTGTGCCAACTTTTCTCACTCACAACGTATACCAAAGGTCTGGGACTGGAAGATCTGGAGACGTGCGAACGGACTTTCTCGAAATCGAATTCCTTGGCCTCCGCACTACGTTACGCGAGTATTTTCCATCGCCAACAAGCCATCGATTCTTTTTTCGAACACAACGACGACTTCGAAGTCTACGCTAATCTATGTGAGCTACATTTTGACACGTGATATTTATTTGCTAATAATCACTCATTCAATTAGCCGATTTTTTGTACAACAACTACAAGCAAGCTCTAGATATCCTCGATGATGGTAATGCAGCGCTACCGAAACTCATGCAAGATCTCAAGGTAGTTGATGTGAGTACTTTCGAGCGCTGGTTGGAAGATGAAAAGGCCTATCTTGTTGGTCTAACGCGCGAGCCTGAAGAAGAAACACTCCAGATGGAGTACTGGCAGAGGCTCGTTAATCTTGCAGCGAGCAGGTGAGTTGTGATACGTATCTCATGATCACTGATTGACACATTTTGCGCAGTGATGCGCTTGGTGCTGCGATGGCAGCAGTTGAATTACCTTCTGAAGATTCATATGAGACACAGGTCAAACGCACTCGCAACGCTGAGGGTGCACGGCGTCACGCACTGGAAGACTATGAGAGGAATCTCAAGATAGTGCAAGCGCTGGAGGGCAAGCTAGAAATCACGGAGCGGTGGGTTCCCAGAGATGTAGAGTGGCAGAACGCAGGGAGGCTAGTGGCTAACAGGAAGTACCAACGGGCACTAGACCGTCTTGAGGGTCTCATCGTCGCTCGGATATTCGAACTGTCGAAAATGAACAGAGCAGGGACAGGTAAGTCTCTATACTATACATGGAGTTGCGACTACTGATTGTATTCAGGCTATAAACTACGCAAACACATCGCCAAGGCATTACAGGCTCGCTCCGTTGCTATCAGGTCAGCCCTCAACACGTACAACACTATTGCTAGGACACTGTCCCCTCCCCGCTTAACACTGAAATGGGAAGAAGTTGTCAACTACGCCTTTCTTGCCAACTTCGACCTCCTTCGTGACACGCGTGTAGACATCTCCGAGCGCCCTTGGTCATCTCCTGCCGCTCGTAGCGCAATGGATCTCCACTTCAAAATATGTCGGGCGCGTGAGGAGATTGAACGCCTCAATATTGAGGTCCAACGCCTGGTGACCTATATACGCGATGAAGAGAAGTATCTACGGGAATGTGAGGACCAGTTGAAGGATACCAACCCAGCCCTCGCACATCAAATCGCTATTCACCGAAACACTCGAGGACGCTTCAAGTCACGACATCTCAACCGGCTTCACGACATATCGAAGCTTCCGGGATTCAGTGGGACACTAGCTCCTGGTATAAGCGCTTATACATGTCCTGGGGAGAGCGCGAGCATACCTAATGCACAGATTCCTGCTCGCATGCTTGTTGAACCCTCGCCTGTTGATCACGCTGCATCTGCCTTAGACCTAGATACCCAGGATGATCTGGATGATGATGAGGAGGAGGAGGAGGAGGTAGTAGAGCAGGCATCGAGGAGTTTACAAGATGTCCTGCTCATTGCTGATGACTTTTCACGCCTTGGGATTCATAGCGATGCTGAAGAAGAGTAGTGGAGTCATTTGCACATTATACATGTATTCCCTACGTACTACAATCATTACTGGTACATATGTCGTCAAAACGCGGTGTCGATCCCATTACTTGAACGTGAGATATGCGAGCTCGTCGCGTCGCACAGCGAGCTCGACGTTTCATATATTATTAGCCGACGCTGGGAACACGTCACGTCATTTGCCGAGATGCCGGCGGCAGCACGCACCCAGTCCTATAGTCCGGTTGGTATGTAAAGTCCCTCTTTATCCAGGAGATATTGAAGGAGGCAGTGATCCGCTGAATTTGCCTGACCTTAAAGGTGCGAGACCCATCTACTATCACCTATAATAAAAGCATTTACGTGGGAATCACAGGTGATCAAAGTGTGTGCTTTGATTATCACTGCCTTTTGGCGTAACGGTTAAGGGACGACAGTCTTAATTACTTACAGCCATCAATCGTTGACCATTGAAGATAGCATCGGGTCAAACGCTACTCGGGAGCGAGCGCTCCAACATTCTTTCACTTATCCATCAGAGAACTGGTGGACAGATTAGAATGATATAGATAGCAATATATAGTGCACAATCACAAGCACCAGCAAAATTCTGCTATCGATCGTCACATGGTCATATTTGACTTTAAATAGGAATGGGGAGTTGCTGATTTTCTTACACAGTTTTGCGATCCGGGAAAGACACTCACACTGTGCGACCTCAGACTCAGCAACAAGGTGGAGCAACAACTAATGGTCAACCTAGAGGCATTAACAGCCGCCACGTCGAAGTAAAGTTCGTCTTTTTGAAGCCAAGAGGAAAAGACGCGCTCTTCCAGCGAACGACGACTGTCCACCAAATGGGTAAGACTAAACTGATGTCGGGCAAAGCTAATGGTTGAGCCAGATGAATCATCAACGCAACTTCAAGCAGACATGTTCTTGACTTCAAAGTCAAGAGGAAAAGACGCGATCTTCCAGCGAATAATGACTATCCACCGAGTGAGCAAAACTGCATTGATGTTCGGCGAAGCTAATAGTCGAGCTGAATGAATCATAACCACAACGTCGGGAAGTAACGTTTGCGACCTCAAAGCTGAGGGTCAAATGCAGCATCTTCCGAAGATCGACGATGTGTTCAACAAGCGAGCGAGAACAAATATCTATATCCTTCTCAATTTTGATGCTCTATGTTTTAGATATCGACGCCTTACCTTATGTGACACAATAACCGAGCTAAGACTCAAAGTCAGTATCTTTCAGGAGCACTAAGACGCGTTACCCTTGGCGGGAGACATACATGTGCGTCCTCCGTTGAATCTCGATACATTTCTCTGACAAACCAAATTTTCATCACTTTTATGTCAATTTTCCATGTAAGAGTAAAAGCCCATATCTTCCCAACTACGAGGATATATTTCACCCGAATGCGTGACACGAAAAAAATTTCGTACCTCGACTTGGAACGTATCTTTTGGATATGTCTAATGTTTGTCAGTCATGCATCAATTTGGAATCCGTGTGAAGATGCTATACCTTTGCGCAGCGGCTGGGTTACGTTCAACAACTGGGCGACAATCAATTTGTGTCGTGGGCTCGAACCTCGAGGCGACTTTCTTTGGGTAGCTAATGGCTAGCAGTGGTATGTCACTTACGACTGCATCCAAAGAAGTTAGACTGTGTACGGACAATGTGTTATTGTAGCAATGTACCTCGACCTCGAATTCGGCAGCCGGGACACATGTTCGTCAACTATTTATCGACTGGGAACCCATGCGAACAAGCCTTACCTACCTACAACAGTCGGGATCCGTTCGCCAGGTCACCGAGAGATTGTTTATATCTTGCTTTGAGTTTACACACAAGCTTCTGTGTTTATTCAAAGACTGGCAAATGTCTTCTGCTTTGGATACTGTGGGCATAATGTATAACTGTCTTTCAATCACGTCGATCTCGCAAGTCCATACTTTCTGTCTCGTGATCACCATGATCGTGCTGTATTTCCTCACTGCAACAGACCTTTTTAAGCGTGCGGATGCATAAACTGGAGCTTGATTTATGTGATTAGCACGATGGCCAGATAATACAGAGTTAACCATGGTCGCTCCGTATTTCCTCCATGAAACTTACAAAAAACTCAGTGAGCGAAGTCAAGTCGTCTTACAATCACGTTGATCTTGCATGTCAATACTGTTTGTCCTGCAATCACCATGATCGCGCTGTATTTCCTCACTGTACTACAGCTTCCCGAGCAGGAGGATGCGTGAACTGGAATTTGATTTGTGCTGTTAGCGCAACAGTTACACATTATAGATATTGCCGTGGTCGCGCGGTATTTCCTCGATAAAACTCGATAGCAATCCAGTGTGCCAGATGCAGCTTGTCTAAACAGGTGGGTGGATGGCCGAACTGTCGCTCGATTGATGTTGTTAGCACGACATCGAAACAATACAGATATCACCATTGTCGCTCCATACTTCCTCTTTGGAACTCACAAACAACCCGGCGGGTGGGTGCACGGACTGTAGCTTAATTGATGCTATTAACGTGACGTCCAGATGATGTAGAGATTCCTATAGTCACGCTTGTTGGCACTTAATGACGACCTAGTGATCCAATGCATAAATGATAGAACTTAGATAGACAAATAACGGATGATTGTTTCATGCATTTCAAACCGAGAAATTATCACGAAGGCAATTCATTAAAAACAAAGTAATACCAACTACAATCGTAAGAGACAGTTTAAGCAATATACTTCTTAGGGTGAATCCAAATCCGCATCATCACGCTGTGCCCTCTGCCTTGTGAGAGCATTAACAGACATGTTGGCCTTTACCGTGTTGCTAATGTCATCACGGTGACTTCTTCCGAAAACCTTCCTACACGGCAGAATTCAGTTGAGGGCCGTTGAGAATGTACACGACCCACCTGGTCCACCACTCGAGGAGCTTATCGGCCCTGAGACGCGCTCCTCGACCGGGGGGCTTTTCGAAAAAATCGACAATTGTTCGCCAGAATTGCACGTAGTCGAAGTCTCCATCAACAGACCGCCAAGAGGTAATAGAAGAAAGTGCAAATCGCACCTGCCAGTGTGCACTTATCAGTCGTCATCGCTCTCGGGCTTTCCAAGCGTTACTTACTTGGCATACTATATACGCAATCGAGCGAGGTGTAACTTTTGTCATTTTAATAATATGCGCCACGTGTTTCTTGACCTTGAGGCCGGAGGAAGACCTCCTAGCGCGCCTGTTGTTCTCAATGATATCTGCGCCATCACCGTCGCCTTCTACGTGCTTTGCCGAGGAAGGCGATGTGAACACCGCTTTGTAACTCTGAATAAGCTGGTGAGATTAACATTGAGATAGGCGGCTGGTGCAGCAGACCTGAAGAAGGATTTTGCTCTTGAAAAGGCCCTCTTCCAGATCGTCAGGGTTGGCGGTATACCCCTCATACAGGTAGGCCGGGAAGGAAAGATCTGTCACGATGTAACCTTCTGAGCGGTCTCGTATTCCTGCCCTTACCCTACCAAATGGTGAGTGTTTTTTCTGAGAATTTTGAGTGTACTACTTACACCGGGTCTTTCCAATCAAGCTCAGCTGGGCAGAGCAGCATGCCGCACGCATAATTTGTGAATCCACGAGAATGCTTGTCATCGGAGTCGACCGGGGGATCTGGCTTGAATTCGCGATTTACCCAATCGGAAACGAGAGCCTTAAGTTTCGAAGTGTCGTCACCTCGAGCACTGTCAGCCCCCTGCCGAAGCTTGTTAAATGGTTAGCACGGTCGAGACGATCGAAATGGCGAATACCAACTATTTTCAATAGCTGTGCATAGTCGTCATACTCCATCTCTGAACCCTCCTTATGGAACCAAGGTAATGTACTTGTGAGTGCGTGATACCCTATCTGCAGCCTATCTTGGCTATATAAACAAGCTGAACAGTTAGCTCTTACAGACAGACTTGAAGGGCGAAAAACAAACTGACTCGAGAGTATTTTCCTGGTCGCCGTCCGAATCGTCATATCTTCGGTCATTTTCTGTGACGAGGTCCTCGACGTTGTCGAATAGAGCGACAACGCGCCTGATGGCCCTTCCTTGAGCCATGTAATAGTTGGCTTGCCTGACGATCAGACTGTGAGAAAAGCCTGCGATTCATTTACTTGGCAGCATACCTTTCTTTCACCGTGCGCGTCGACTCGAGAGTCAGCAGTTTCTCCTCCAGCTGCGCAATTCTCCGTCTTTGTCGGGCCTCCACAGATGGTGCCATGGTTTTGGACTGTTGGGAGAAATCGACCTGTTCCTCATCGTTACCCTCCGAGTCGACGTGTGGTATAGAGGTGTCCTCAACGTGCGACATGGAGACGGAGTAGAGAAGAGCGTTGACCGACAGTAGAGGGAAGAGGGAAGAGGGAAGAGGGAAGGAACAATGAATAATACTAACTATTTGGCACCTTATATGCTGGTGACGACCAGCCGCGGCGCCAATAGGGCAACAGGCGCCTACCTATCTTGGGTTGGCCAGGGATGAAGTCTCGCTTGAATAGATACCTAGTTAGGAAACCATTAACGTTATAAAAACTTTGAATATTATGACGCGTTTACCCTGGCCTCGGACTCGGTCGTCGCGAATGGTGGGTGACACATCAGCTTCTCGCAAATGAGTCTCCGTCTGAGTCTGTGGATGCGGCTGCTGCTGTCTCTTGTTGAGGCCAACAAGTAAGTCACGGTCCTCCAGTTCGGGATGCAAGAGGCGCAGACCCTTGCAATAGTATCGCGTGGGCCGAGTGACCTTGAAATCCGTATCGAAGAGGAAGACGTCCCAAATTGCAATCTAAATCATGTTTATTTATTAGTAGCAGGATTGTCAGTGAAATGGCACTTGGCGTGCCGCCTCTCCTGGATTCTCCACATCTCCATCAAAAGGGCATAGACCAGATGACAGACTACCGTGACATCCCAGGTGAACTACAAGCGCCAAGGCGTGACTGACTGGCAAAAATCAAAATCCAAAGCTTACCGGTGTTCCCGAGATACTACGCACGATGCTCGGATCGAGCGCGTCAACATCACAACTCAGGTGATCAAGGCGTCCCATGGTTTTATCGATCTACAAGGCCGGAGCTTGGGATGAATCATGTCGTGTCCGACTTGTGAGTACATGTGAGTCGTCGAGCACAAACTTTCCCACAGTCGGGCCTGGGAAGCGACCCGGGCCAGAACGTCCTCCTCCAACAGGTGCTGGAATTTTCCTGGCAGGAGTAGTTAATTTTATCATTGGATGGCTAACGGGTGAGTAGCTCACCATCCGATCTCTATGGGATTCAAGCCTTCGACTGATTCGCCGTTCTTCGCATCGTGAGAGCAGCTCGTTGGATATCGTTTGTATCAGAATTGGTTGTATTGCGGCGGTAATGATTCATCATCATCATTATGGTACTAGCCCTGACTGTCCACCATCCGAGTCGCAGGCACGGGTGATGATCAGCCTTTAGCTTCGGTTTGTACGAACTTCGGAACTTCATCTGCCATGAAACTGATTTTTTTCATGTTATCAAAGTTCATCGGCCCTCCTCAAGCCCATAGTGCAACAAGTTTACCAAAAGTAACTACTCGCTTTCAATTACTGCAAGTATTTTTTGTTGTTGCTCCTCGCCATGCTTGATTATGTCAAGAACCGTCTGCCAGTCAGTGCCTGTTTTCTCCCGACAGATGCGCTTGGCAGCTGGAGCAGTACGATCCGGACTCGGAGATGGCCGCACTAACACTTTCTCCTTCTCAGTGCAATGATTTGGATCGATGCTGTCGATCTTCCTCTTGGGATGAGTACTACAGGCTACCTTGGCGCAAGAAACTTCAAGTTGAGCTCGTAGTATGACTTCACAACTTTCTGCTGAGCCAGCTTCCTGATCTTGTCAGCACAACGAAACCCACGCCTTTTGGAATACACCTACTACTGTCTTCCGAGCCGGACTCAGCGGAGTCGTGATGGCGGCAGATAGTCCCTGATTTTCCTTCTCTCTCAAACTTGAATGATTCGGAGCAATAACAATCTCCTGCGACTGAGACATGTAATACGTGAGCATTATGTTGTTTCAAATGAAGGAACCGTAGCCACTTACTACTACTTCTTGATACCTGGCAGGCTTCAGAGGTTCCCGTGTAGGGTTAAGCGTCGCAGCACCTCCAGATTCCAAGCAACACCCCCATCCGTTCGAGCCAGCACAAGTACCACTAGTAGGACCAAATACTACGGATGTCGTAGAAAATTCAGACACGAGTTGGCGACTGGGTTCGAATTGAACACTTGTATCCCAATTGACCCGAGTGGTTACAGCCGCTAGATTGCCGTGACTGGCAGGACGGCCACGATCATATCCAAACATAAGGCTACCGTCCATGTCAGGCTAGCCTGAGTAGTAAGTTGTTGGGAAATTGGCTTGAGGTCAACCTGTGAGTTCTTATAGTTCGGTCTATCTCTGGTGACGTACAATCACCAGAGCCATGACAGCATCAATAGTAGGGTCGTGGGCCCGACATAGGCTATGTGCATATGTGCAACCAGGCTCACTGACAGGTGCCTATAGGGCTGTGCTTCATGGCGTAGTAGCAAGATCCTTTTGGCAAAGATCCAAACCACTCCTTTTTAGAAAACATAAATTAGTTCCCTTTTTTGGTATGTGCTGAGTTCTCCGATCATATCACGAAGTTCTTCGGGACACCTTATCCTTATCCTCCGAAATAAGTTTGCTTCATTTCCTCTCCGGGCAACTAGCTGACGAGCAGGCAGCATATCATCCTGCACAGTGCTGTGAGTTGGTCAGTGAAATGCGAAGAATCCAAGAATCAAGTCCGATCAGCGAATATTACTTTCAAACTCCGAAGACTTATTTACCAATCGCTTACACCCTGAAATACCCAAAGCCCCACCTTTGAACAATCATGTTGCACTTAAACTTGGCTCTGTCTCATAGTGATGAACCTGAACCTAAGGTTTCATCCGGCCGCAACCGTAGCATGAGTGAAGTCTCAGAACTTCACGTTCCACAGATTGCATCCCTTCAACAAGTTGAACACCCTCAGCTTGGGGATATTTCTCCCAGTCGCGCTCCCAGCCCATATTCAAGCTCTCCTCCAAGCTCTCCTCCAAGCTTTAGCTCGTCCGCCGTGCCAGAATCAGGTATTCATCGCCCATTGTATGTCAATGGTGGATAAACTCAAATATAAAATTGACAGCGGCTACTAGTAGCTCTAATAATATCTCAGACGCAGAGGATGATAACTTCCCTTGGACGCCTCATTCTAAGCAATCCGGCGGTCCCTTACCACATGCTGTCAATCCATGCGAGTCTGCTCGGGCTGGAGTTGGGTCGCCGACTCCAAATCGTTTGGCTGAGATTGACAGCACCCACGCTTTCTATCCTCATCCCATGATCACCTCCTTCGAAGACCAGCATTATTTTGACAGATTTTTAGGCAGACCTGTCAATGACGGGCATTCATTGGAAGATATTAGCCAGAAGGTATGTTATATTCTCAACAAAATACCACAGCTCTCAAGATAGATGTCATTACAGGTTCAGGATATCTATTTTAGCCATATAGAACGGCTTAGCGCGCACTCTGTCCGCTGTGCTGTTCATTATAAAGAAGCGGTTCGTGAACGCAAACGCATGCGTTGGTACACCGCACGCTGGGAGGTTGCGGAGGTCCAGAGGCTACACACCCTTGTTCGTTCCTTGTGCGACGAATCGGAGACAGAATTCATAATGGCGGACCGAGAATCGCGGTGGTTGCTGGACGTCCTTGTCAAACGACAGACATCACCTACTTTGGCCATGCATGCCCAATATGCCAGTGCAACCTGTGACAATGACAAGAAATCTCTTCATTTGGCTGATGCTGAACTCGCCCTTCTCGCCAGTCGTTCTCAGTCTATCGAACTGTAACGAATTATTAGTACATATGGGTTTACCTGACAAATATCCTTAATCATCGTATTTCCAGACACTATCACCCTTGCTACGAATTATGTTGTATTCCCACGTGAATCATGGTGGATACACCGGTTGCTTGTTTTTGGATGCTAGTATGTATAACTACGCTCCGGCTCCACCTCACTAGTTAGTTCGAAATAGCGTTGGTAGGACTATTGATGTATCTGTCTTTGAAGAAATATAAGCTTTTGGTGGAGTCCCTTGCGGTAGCCTGAGCTAGCAAGGAAACATCATGATAGTTATGGTTATTCACGTGCCCTCTATGCGGCTGCAACGCATTTCTCTGCAAATTCGACGTGTGACGCTTACCAAGCATGAACATTGAACGCTACTAGTTTGTAACTACTGTGAGTCCAAGACAAATGTGTTAGTTGCAACTTCCTTTCAGGATTGCTAGCTCGAAATCGGCATGCGTTTTTCTGAAACGCTCAGTTGGATCTGTCTTTTCTTGTTTATTCTGATGGTTTCATGCGATGCTCCGGGTTGCTCTTGGGCCAGGCCAACAGACAACCGAGGACTCAGTCAACATCGATTACACTGCCGATTCTATAAGAGAGACAGCAGTCTTGCGAGTAGGAAGAGACGTGATCGCGCAAAGGACGCAGTTCGTTCAAGTTTGGTTCCAAATCCTTCGTCGAGCACCTCAGTGAGTGACCTCCTGCTTCGACATGAGGATAGAACCTCTAGCTATCCTAGTACTGAAATCAACGTTAGAGAATTTCAGCCATCCGATATGTGAGGGACCGTCCGAGTCTAAAACCAATTGCTCCCCACAAACTACACGGGCCAATGTCTATGGCTTGTGGATTACACGGCAAAGACTCGGGCAGTCTTACGGTCTCGCAAAACGGTGGCAACTACGACTTAGAAAGGCAAGAAATTGATCAAATTGATGTTGAGATGGGAAGCGATTCTGGGACCGTAATGGACGCCTTTGATTCAGGTTCGTGTCTCCTTGGGCAACTTTCAAGGGGTCCATCCTCTGACAAATCTGTCGAACCTTTCAGAGGGAACCGCATTCCCAATGAGACGAATCCCGAGACCTCTCGATGATATCGAACCCTCGCACAGTGATCTTAACTACTCCGATAGTGCTGGAATCCAAACGGCCTCACTGCCCGCCCAATCCAGGATTCGACGGGTTCTCTTAACACTAAGAGATACCCTCCAGACCACCTTCAACTCTTTTGGACTTTGTCGGCTATACCCTCGCCGTCCTTCCTTTGAGCCGGACCAATTTATTCCATCCGCCTTACTTGCAAAAACCTCCCCAATACCTACCCAACTTGAAGAAGCCGATTCACCAGCGAAGGTTTTTGCGCCACCTTACCCATTTCCAAACATGACTACCTATCGCCTTATGTCCTGGATGCATTCCGGTAGCAATGTGGTATCTGAAACTAAAGTCGCGCACCTTGTTAGGGATGTAATGATGGCAGAAGATTTCGACCGCAAGCACCTTGAGAACTTCTCGGTGAAGCGGAGCTTGCGAAAGCTGGATAGGGACGAGAGCGGAAAAGGGGTTATTTTTCCAGATGATTGGATTCAGACCAGTGTCGGCATTAACATTCCGACGAGAGCAAGGGAAGATGGCCCTCAGCCTTATACGGTTCCCGGGTTTCATTACCGCCCTCTCGTTGAAGTCATACGTGCTGCGTTCTCCGACGTCCAAGCAAGGGCATTCCATCTCTTGCCCTTCCAACGATTGTGGAAAGATCCCTTAGACGGCCATCAAGAGCGGATCTACGATGAACTCTACACCTCCGATGCCTGGCTGGAAGCTCAGGATAGTGTCCAGAGGCTGCCAAAGGAACCAGGGTGTTCACTGGAGCGTGTCATTGCAGGTTTGATGTTTTTTTCCGATGCTACTCACTTGGCAAATTTCGGGACTGCAAAGGCCTGGCCCCTTTACATGTATTTCGGGAACTTGACGAAATACGCAAGATCAGCGCCCCAATCTGGAGCATGCCACCTGGTAGGATTCTTACCTTCAGTAAGTCCTCTTGAACTCTGCATGCTGGTCCACCGCCTTTGACAGTGTCAGGTCCCTGACAGCATCAAAGATATTATCAGCAATCTGCCTCGCATATCAAAAACTGGTATGACATCTCTTCTTACCCACTGCCGCAGAGACTTGTTCCATTCCTGTTGGGAAATCCTGCTAGATGAAGACTTTCTTGCTGCATATCGCCACGGTATAGTTTTGAAATGTCCCGACGGAGTGATGCGAAGGGTCTTCCCCCGAATCTTCACATATTCCGCCGACTATCCTGAAAAGTAGGGTTCTTCCACGACATTTTTAAAACGCTGACTCGCTCATTGATTTACAGAGTTTTAATCGCGACTATGAAGGATATGGGTCTATGTCCATGCCCTCGCTGTGTCACACCAAAAAGTATGTTTGGCTTTCTCGGGCTCGCAAGAGACATGAACAGTCGCATCAACAACCTCCGAGCATACGTGACCGCGAACGTCGTCAAAGCTCGCGATTTCATTTACACATGGGGAAATACTGTAGATGGTGTGAAGGTACAAAACACGCTTGGAGAGGGATCATGGGTACCTGTTCTGGTAGGTGAAATCTACCTTATCATTTTATGATCGCCTCACACCATCTACTCACAGAATCAATTTGTTACAAAGCTCGGACCTTTCGGCCTCGACACATTCCGCATGCTTGTCATCGACATCATGCACGAATGCGAGTTGGGTACCTGGAAGGCGCTCTTCACCCATCTTATTAGGCTTCTCTATGCCCTTCCTCGAGGTAGTGAGCTTGTCGCAGCCCTGGACGGCAGGTACGAGGAATGTGTAAAGAGCAGTGTCATATGCTGAAAGGTCGTCGACTCTCAAATTTGTTGTAGGTTTCGACAAGTGCCGACTTTCGGTAACGGCGTGATTCGCAAATTTTCTAACAATACTTCTGAGATGAAAAGATTAGCAGCCCATGACTTTGAAGATATCTTACAGGTATTTTCCGGCTGCTGTTGTCTGTACTCGACCTGCTGACTACTCTCCATCGCTAGTGTGCAATTCCGGTCTTCGAAGGGCTTTTCCCCACCGACCATGATGTGGCCATACAATCTCTACTGTATCGATTTTCGCAGTGGCATGCTCTTGCCAAACTTCGGATTCACTCGGAGTCCACGGTTGAGTTTCTCGAAGAAACGTTCAAGAAAGTATCTCAGAATTTGCGCAAGTTCCGAGACTACACCTGCGCTGCTTTCAACACTGTCGAATTACCCAAGGAGAAAGCAGCCCGCTACCAGTAGGATGGCTCAACAATCTGAAACGAACGGTACCTTTCCAGGATCAAACGGGGCGAAGACAAAGAGGTTTAATTTGGGTACGTATAAATTTCATGCGATGGGAGACTATGCGAGAACCATCAGGTTCTTCGGTACTACTGATTCTTTCAGCACTCAAATCGTGCGTCTTTTTTTAAGTCCATACTAGTATGCAGCTCATATTAAGTTAAACCAGGGCGAGCTTGCTCACAGAGCCCTGAAGGCCTTTTATCCACTGACCAGTAAGAAAGACACTCCAGCTCAGTTGGCCAAGCACGAGCGTCGGCGCCGTGTACTACGGCGGGTGGCCGAAGTGGCCTCCTCTGGCAGCCAACCAGGAGCCAATGCCCCCCCATCGACATTATCTGAAACGCATCACAGTATTGCGGCCACTCGGAACAACCCGCTCGATTTGTTTGCATTTCTTCGAGAACACAACGGCGACCCTGCCATTAAGGTAGAAGTCCATTTCTGAGACACCTTACCTCTTACTCACAGCGGCTGTCAGAACTTTCTACCGAGACTGAAGGATCATATTCTCTACAGGTTGAAGGGGTTAGACGTTAGCCTTTGTGACCACACGTTTACAGACGAGGAACGCAACTCCATCATAATCCCAAACAACACTATCTACTCTGTCCAGACCATGCAGATACATTATACTACCTACGACTTCAGGCGAGAATACGACACCATCAGCCCTAGAACCTACAGCGACGTTATGGTACTTTCAGGAGAGACGGAGCCAACCCATCCGTACTGGTATGCCCGTGTATTGGGCATATACCATATTGAGGTATTGTTCAACCAAGGCGGCCAACTCACGAAGCGACACATCGAATTTCTCTGGGTTAGGTGGCTAGCGGTTGTGCAAGGCCATAAATCAGGCATAAAATACGCCCGTCTACCCAAGATCGCGTTTGTAGAGGAGTCGGACCTAGATGCCTTTGGGTTCCTTGATCCAGGGCAGGTAATCCGAGGCGCACATCTGATTCCAACGTTTGCCTCTGGACGAGGTGTCAGCTCACTTCGATATGGGAAATCATTGGCACGCCCTTGCGGGCGGCTGGATGACTGGGAACAGTTTTATGTCGGGATGTAAGTACAAATATACCTTCTGGTAGCGTTTGAATTCTCAAGTTTGAGACAGATTCGTAGATCGGGATATGTTCATGCGTTACACCGACCTTGGTGTTGGACATTCTGCGATGCTGCGGAGGATTACTCGAGACTGTCTGGGCTCTCAGGCTGCGTTGGCGGCACAGGCCAATGGCACGGGCGATGTAATCACCACTGACTGAGGATGCGGACTATGAGGAGACAGGGGATGGCGAGGATGGCGAGGGATGCGACGATGGGCAGGAGGACAGCGATGTCGAAGATTCTGACTCGGAAGAGTTGGATGAGCTTAGCGATGGGGAACTGGATGATGACGATGACGATCATATATCTTTTTGAAGCCCCTCGAGTCCCTCCAAATCCTTTAGTCACTATTAGTACTACGTCCAAGGATCGTTGTTTTTCTTTTTCTTTTATCAGCAAAAATGGCATGCCTTACAGGCGCCATGTCAGGCATCGCAATCCGACTTATAACCGCTTAGCGCTCAATATCGTCACTCGCCCATGTAGGATTGCATGCGAAAACAATCAATCCAATTAATATTTCTTGTCTTACACTACTGAAAGACAAGTCCTGTCCATGCTACACCTCTGCACAAGCTGAATCATCCATACTCCGCCTCGTTAATTTCGACTCCAGAGTCTGACCTTGACACATCCAAGGACAGAGACGATGTCCATCTCACTGGCACCAATTCTCAATGTAAATTTGCAGACGATAGTTGGGCTAATACTAATGATTTGACCATCAGTGACTCTGAGCGCACGGGAGGTGCTGCAGGCCCCATCAGGCGGAGGACGTCGCGTTACAGTTCCTCACCTTTCCCTCTCAAACGAACGGGCTCGTTGAACATTCATGGTAACTTGTCGAAGCACCTTCAACGCGCATCTCTCCGCGTTGTCAGGCCACGCCTTGTACAATTCAATTCGCATACCGGATGAAGACTTCGACGATGGCGAGTATTCTCCCACACAAGATAACAAGGAACCTCTCGAAGAACAATGGAACGAACGACAACTGTTCTTTACCAGAAAGCTGACTCCCTTACGAGGGCGTATTCTCGATTTCTTAGAGTCCTCCAGCATGTTTCGTCTTCGCCTCTATGGCTTCCTTTCTCATCCGTATGCCTCTTCTGCTAGGTTTCTCCCGCTCGACAATATTAATCATCCTTGCAGATGGACCGAACCTCTGATACTTTGTTTAATAATTCTTACTGCCTGTGTATTGATATCTCAAGCGTCTCACTCGGTCCTTCTTCCCTCGGATCAGTCTATGCCGACCTCACTTAGGAGTCTCTTTTTTGCTTGGGAGGATTATGTTCTTTTTGGGTTGTTCACCCTATACACGTAGGTCTCAAACTGGTCACCATCCCCTCAGCCTAATCCCTCCTGTTAGGTCTGAAGCAATTGCGCCAATATGCGTTTCTGGATTTCTGCTGGATCCTGAAGTTCCGATATTAGTTTTCTTTGTAAGTTCAACATCATCAATAACGTCGACTTCGAGGTAAGGTCCTTCCTCATCCGGTTCCTTGTCACGCGGCCTCTCCTCAAGGCCCTTCTATGGTCGTTTATCGTAGCCTTTCAAACTTTCCGAGGCTACCCCTTGCGT